GAACGTCCCCACTTTGCATTTTTCACCTATCAGGGAGGTGTCTGGAACGTAACCCCCGCGATGATCGAGGGACCATTTCACAGCGTTGCTGCTTTACACCGTGCTCATGTAAACTAGGGGTTTTTGCCCTTGCTTGTTTTAAGTTTTAATAATCTGAAGTCTCACAAAGAACCGTTTGCTTTAAAACATTAATCCAACCTTTATTTATACACGTTAGTCCCATTGAGCCTCGCATGCTCATGTTACCCATTCAGAATCCACCAGTAATTAGATTGGCTTTAGCATTTGGATATTCAAGGTGGTCGTCGTTTATCCCTATTCCCATTTTAAGTTATTCTTTACTCGGTAATCTCTTCGTAACTACATCTTCGTGAAATATTCTGATTCAGCTTTACAAGATCTGCAACATTCACACTCCAGATCCATTTCTGCTCCTCGAGTCCAGAGCTACAAGTCTGAAGCTTGAAATAATAACTGCATAATAAAATATATTTACATTAAATATCAGTAATAAACTCATTTAACCCCTAAGAGTCTGATACTTGTCAAATTACCACTTAGAAATTAAGCATATAATTAGTGAACATAAGTTTGAATACTTTTTGACTTGCTGAATTTATTTCCAGTAATACAAGCTTTATTTATTAAATCATGTTTTAAAGCAAAACTAGTTTTGTACATCTGATATTTGACATTAAATGAACTTGTTTTTGTAGAACGTCTTATTTCAGTTCAGTACATTTCTGTAAAAGTGCACTTTCTGGCTCCCCCTTGTCTGAAACGCTCTAGTGAATTTCAGAGGAGCACGCCAGGTGGCAGGAAGTTGGATTAATAAAACCACCAGCAGGATCAATTACTTGTGTTCAGTTACTACAATGGACATGACATTTTCAGTAGACGGGCCCGAGCAGGTCTCAGTAATATACATGAACTGAATTAGACACGACGTTAGAAACGGTGAAACATCAGAACAATCCAAACCTCCTCACCTCAAAACATCAGACACAACATTTATTAAAGACGCCAGAGTCGAAACAGTTCACATTTAATGCCCTGGGCTTTATTGTCTTATTTTTAGTGAGAGTTCTGCCACTTCTTTATTTTTTATTTCAGCCTCCAGGTGGGACAATAAACTTGAAGGATATATTCTGCCATTGGAGCGGGCATGGAGACTGACAAAGACAAGAAGCACTACTAAGTAATGCTGCCTTTGTGCCCAACTCTTCACAGAAGAGAGAACAAACATTTCCCCAAAGGAAGGCACCCAATACTTGTGGTTACTTTTCTTTTTGTTTCGGCCTTGCAGCCGTCTGGAGATTCTTTTTACAAAAAGAATTAAAACTAACTTAAACAAGACAAAAGATGACGGAGTGAATAAAAACATTCTCACAACCTTGTTGTCTCTTGGATGTAAAACCTGGAATGATGTGATGACTGCTCTCTGATCAACTCTGGATCAACTCTGGATCAACTCTTTCAATAATCAAACGCTACAATCAAGTTTACCACAAGGAACAAAAAATACAAAAATAACTTTTTTTGTTTTACAAAAACGTCAGAAAACAGAACAGACTGCTTGAAAGTGAAGGACAAAACAAAACAAAATAAAATAAAATACAAAAGCAGCATTGAAATGTATCAACAAGAACAAAAATAGTGCTTAAAACAGAAGCAGCAGAGGCTTCTGGGAAGAGACATCGTCCCCGTTTTGTTGTGGGACCACGTTGGTGAAAAGTGCTGGAGAAGAGGCGCTTCTCTCCTCCAGGGCTCCACCACCTCCTCCTGCTCCTCCTCCTGCTCCTCCTCTGGTCTCCTGATCGTCACAGACTTTCACATGATCCACAGAGAAAATCACAGGGGACCCAAAGTAAAGGTGTGTGGGGTGGAGGGGGTGGGGACCTGCTTCGTGTTCACAACATACAAAAATACCTAGGAGCTACTGAACATTTACTACAGCACAGAAACCAACAAAGGTACAGTGTACAAATTAAAATGAGATCAAACCAAAGAGGTTAAAGAAAGAGATGTAAACACAGCACAATAAATAGATTAAAACAGCAGGCTCTGCACCATGCACGTGATAAAACTCTGTTCTATACAACGCTCACACTCGCCACTATCAACTTGGCTCACTCTTCAATTTTATTATTTTGACGTTTGACTCCCAAGTGCAAAATATCACGAATGGACAAGTTCTGTATTCAAGTACTATATACACGGGGATATTACAAATATGGAGTTACTGTACAGATAGTATTTTTGCAATATTCATAGTTTACATTAGTCAATATGTTACTTTAACAAGAACAAAACCAAAAAGCAAACGGTGTAAAAAAGTATGAGATGTGAGTGAGGCTGCCAGTCTGCGTCCGAGTCCTGCCGTCCCTTTTTCATTCCCAGTGCTACGATGACACCACCCGCTGCGCTACGTCACCTCCATCGCCACTGTGTTGTCTGCTAAACTGTTCAGTGCTGGCTTGTCTTCATCGTGATTATCTCTGTGAGGGGACAAAGAAAACACAAGTGAACGACACGTTCAGTCATCTTTGTGTTTGTAGCAACTTCCATCATGTTCAAATCCATTTCACTGGAATGAGACGTTTCCAGAAAAGATCATGTTCACCAGTTGCTGTACTGGAGACAACTTGCAACCAAACATGGCTAGTACTTCTTCCTAAGGGAAATAAAATTCACTAAAATAATTTAATTTTTAAGACAAGATAGAACTTTATTGATCCTACAAGAAACAGATCCTGCCTAACTCTGAACCCTGAGGAACACCTTGTATCTGTGACTTTCCTTCCCTCCATTGATTACAGTGACATTATTTACATGAACGCTCCTACAAGAACCCTGCAGATGTTGGATGCTGCAGATGTTGGATGCTGCAGATGTTGGATGCTGCAGATGTTGGACGCTGCAGATGTTGGACGCTGCAGATGTTGGACGCTGCAGATGTTGGATGCTGTCTATCATGGTGCACTAAGATTCATAACTGGCTGTAACTACCGTACCCACCACTGCACCCAGTATTCACTGGTTAACTGGTCACCATTAACTTCACACAGACTCTCTCACTGGTACATTTTCATCTTTAAATCACTTCCTGGTCTGCTGCCTTCATACATCTCCTCCTACATGTCTCTGTGTGAGTGCAGCTACAGCGTGCGCTCTCAGGACATCATTACCTGCAGTGTTCCCTCAGTGAGGACTGAACTAGACAAAAGGGCCTTCTCCTACTCCGCTCCTGTTTCCTGGAATATCTTGTAAAAACATCTGAAGCTCTCGACCATTGACCTCTCTAAGTGTCTTCAAACTAGGGATGTGCGATCCGGCATAAAATTCATTGTGATGGGTGTCAGAACGATGACATCACATGTTTCTGGTACAACACTTGCAGTAGGGATGAGAAAAAGCATAGGGTGTCATTTTGCCAGCATTTATTTTGAAAACTGCTACACCACAAAATAATCTCAGTCCAGAAAATTCCACTAGTGGGTCCAGAGAGTTTTTAAATAATAACCAAATCAAGTATTGGTCTTCGTTCTTGTAGTGCAGTGTTTCCCCTACCATTACACAAGCGGGGTGCCCCACCCCGTCAACCGAACTGAGCACCCGCCATGGCAAGCTAACGAGGGGAAACACTGTAGTGCAAACAGCAAAGGATGAGTCTAAAGACTGTTGGTGAAGAACACTAGTTTGTCCACAGTCCCTGGATTTAACATGAAACAAAGACCAGTGGCATGAAACAAAGACCAGTGGCATGAAA